CAAAAAGTAAACAAAAAATTTAATAACAGCACTGGTAAGCAAAAAACAGAAGCAACACAAAATGATAAATTGCAAACGCAAATTCAACAAACAGAGGAAACACATATGTCACTAGGACAAAGCACCTGGGCACCAGCAAATAGACCATGTAACACAAACAGATCACACTGTACAAGAATACCAGCACACAACTTAAAAGGTAACACAATTTAAGAAAAGTTACAACATATAAAAGCGATGTTAGGAGAAAACAATTACATAAAGTCAATCGAAGAAACAACTAAAGAAAATAGCAAATAGATAGAAATAGACTTTGACTGCAACTATAGCAGAGAAAGAGCAACAAAAGAATTACAAAGACAAAATATCAAAGAAGTACAAGTCATAAGGGGAAGAGAAGAAAAGAAAGTCAAATATCAAACAAGAGCTATTGTACTAAAAGAGAACCAAAAAGCTGAAAAACCTTACAAAATATACAAAGATAAAGAGAAAGAAAAAGTAGCAGAAATAAAAAAAACAAACAAATTTCTAATGATCTGAAACCTATCAGCAGATATAAAAAAAGAAGAAGTCAAATATATGTATAGAAACATAAGAAGTGCACAAGTGGTTAAGATCAAAAGAACAAGATTCAAAGCTTTAGCAATAATTAAGTCTAGCTATTTAGAAAAAGAAAGAGCTCCATGGTCTCTTCCAATTGGCAGCAATAACCTAGCACATGTTACATAGGGCTACGAAGACTATGAGCAAAAAGAAAAACAAGGAAGACACACAATTAAACTAATGGGATTAGCAAGAGAAGTATTATTACTAAGAAGCCTTAGAAACAAGATTAATTTTCAAATTTTATCATAAATGAGATTTAAATCTTAAATCTGCCACTTAGAGAATAATAACTAAACTAGTATATTAGAATTACCATCCTCTTGAAGTATTTTTAATATTTATAGTATTACAAATATCTTATTACTTTTTCAAATTATTACTAACTAAATTATATTTTTTTCAAAAAATTTCTTATTGTTATGATATTTTTAAATAATATTTTTTTTAGAAATTAAGCTCTTATCTTCAATAAATAATATTTTTATAGAACATAGATGCCTTCAGAAGCTTTCTTACATTGAAGGTTACAACTAGTTATATGTATATTTTTAGTACCTAATTTAAGTAGTTTATCTATATATTACTATACAAATTTTATTTTAGATGCCATACTTGTAAATTAACTATAAGTCTTGTCTATTTAAACTCTTTGTATATGCAATTCTTTTGTATTATAAAAACCTTTTTAGAACATTGCCTATCTTAGTTCTTAATGCTAATCAGTAGCTTAGAACTATTTTATTCTTAACAGAAAACTTACTAGAGTTTGCTATATTTTACATATATTAATCTAGTTTTATGCAATATACTATAGTTATCTAATACTTGCAGTTACAAAAGTTACCTATTTAATCATTATGTTATACTATTTTTAGCTTTATAAAGTTTACTAAAACTCTAGCACTTATTTTTTTAGCATTTTTTCTATTATTTTTTACTAATCACAACTTAAAACAAATAAACTTTTTAGATTTTTAATCAAATAACTTAGTTTAGTATTTATTAATGTTTTTTTTCTGTCAATTTTAGTAGTTTAGTTAGTAATATACTTCTCTACAAATCTTTGTTATTTAATTTATCTACTAAATTTATTAAGATGTTTTATAGACTTTAAATAGTTTAATGATATTGTCAAAAGTTTATACTATCTCTTTATTTAGGAATTTTTAAGTAAGATTTAGCTTCTTAGTTTCTTAGTTTTCTATATCTAATGGTCTTATTATAAGTTTGCACTAAAGTCTTATATAACACTAATTATTAATATTTATTTATGTATATATAATGTTATATTTTATATAAAACTTTGAGCTTCTGATAGTGAATAAAGCTCAGCTTGATACATTTAAAGTTACAGATTCATAAATCTAATTGATTAACAAAAAACAGTTATTATAAGTTAATATTTTAAATTTTATTGTAAATAAAATTTGAATATTAGATCTGTTATTTGAAGAATAACAACTCAACTACTATAATTTTTAAATAATATATACTTTTTTTAAATATTAAGATGAAACTTGTGATCCAAAATTTTATTAATAGTGTATTTGGCTAATACAGCCATCTTCCTTTATAATCATCTCCTATATAATCACAATTCTTATATAATTATATAAGTTTGTATTATATTTTTTTTATAATAAAAATACCTTTTTATAATCACATTATTATTTATAATTACTATCACATATTTTTAATTCATTAAAAATGTTTTTATATAGGATTTTCTCTTGATATTATCACTTTCTAAAAATGTATTTAAATGGTTTTTTTTTAATATTACTCAAAATGTCTTTAGAGATGCTTTCTAAAAAAACAAGAATAGCTATTAATAACAAGTTAAAATATGATATTTGTGTCTATAATGACAAAATCCTAACCTTTTATATAGGAAGATTGCAAAATACTTTCAAGAAACCTTTTAAGTTAATCTTGAATGTTTTACAATATTCAAAATATTAAAAAAAAAAAAAAATAGTTATTGCTATTGATAATGCAGATAGTGCTAAAATTTATCATTATAAACAAGTTAAATACTTATTATTGGATCAAGCAATACAATTATAGATTGAACAGGTTACTAGTAATGGAATATTTTTGTCTGAATTAATTATCAAAGAGAAAGCCAAGTTTTTTACACAAAATTTGGATATAATGATAAATTCACTTAAATATTCTAATAGTTGGATTTATTAGTTTAAAAAAAGAAATAATTTACAAAATTATTATCTATATGGTAAAGCTGATTCTACTTCTTTAGAAAATCTATCCAATCAATGAAATTCATTGCATAATATTATTCAAGAGTATACTCTTGATAATGTATTTAATGTGGATGAAACTAAGCTCTTTTTTAGAATAGCACTTAACCAAACATTTGTATTAAAATTATATTCAAGTTGAACAAAGATAATACTTGTTTTAAATGTAGTACAATAACTTATTAAATTTATATAATTAGTTTATCCATCTGGGTTAGTTATTTTTTTTTAAAAACAATTTTTTTTTTTTAAAAAAAAAAAAAAATTTTTGTAATTTAAAATAAAAAGCAAGTTTGAGTTATTTTTAAAACTTTATATTCTGAAAGTTAAGAATTAACTTTTATAACTTTATTATTCTAAATTATTAAGATAAAATAAGAGTTTCTATTATGCTAGTATGTAATGCAATTGGGACACAAAACTAAAATCACTTGTAATTTAGATTCGTAATTCACTTGCATGCATTAATCATAATACCTTGCCAGTTATATACAGAGCCAATTTTCAAGCATGGATGTAATGTGATCTTTTCAATGAATAGTTAAAAATACTAGATTATCAATTTTGCCTTTAAAATAGAAATATTTTAATTTTAGTTGATAATGCATCTTGTTATTATAATCCAAACAGTATTTTACCAACTTTTAATTCTACTAATAATAGTTATAAAGAAGGAACTGAATTAGCAAAAACATTTGTATCTAGAATTAGTAACATAAGATTATCTACTTTACAAAATAATCAGAGTCAAGCTTATAGTAATCAAAGTTATCCCTATACAATTTTTGATCTTACTGGCTTCTAGTTAACTAATATTAAACTTTATTTTCTTTCATCTAACACTACTGCACATTTTTAACCAATAAATGCAAGCATTATCAAGTATTTTAAATCAAAATACAAACAAAAATATATTCAATATCTTCTTACTTAGTTTAAACAAGATAAAAATATACAAAAGTAAGTTAAGAATATTAAGTGCTACAAATTAAAAACCTGGAACTGAATATATAAGTATTATATATTCAGTTCTAGATTTTTAATTTGAAGCACTCAATATAAGTATAATGTTATGTGTTAAATTAATATCTAAGTCAAATTAAAATACAGTTACATTTCTCTAAGTGTATTCACCTTGGAACTATAGTAAAAAAAAAAAAGCAAAATGTGCATTTAGAGGAGGTGTGCACTTGCAGAAATTAAAATTTATAGTTATTATATTATTTGGGACCAAGAGGGAGTATGCACTTAAAGAGGTTTTTTATATATCATGCACTTAGGATATGTGTGCTTAGGGGATGCAACTGTAATTATAATCTTACTAATAGTGATTTTATTGCATCACTACTTGTTGACATTTATCTTTACCTTAATATAAACTTCTATCCTAACCTTAATAAAACTTTACAATATTTAAATTTTGATCTAACATAAATTTTAATAATATACAATATTACTAAAGTATATTTACTATTTAATTAAAATAAAATTTTAGAAAAAACCTTACTATTAGAGATGTAATTTACTATATTACAGAGTCTTAGAATGAAGTTAGTGAAACAACAATAATGAATTGTTGAAAAAAAACTGGAATTTTGCCTTCTATTAATTATAAAGAATTACAATATGCAACAAGCTCTTATAATACTTTTATTAAACAAAAAAATATTATTATTAAGTTGTCAGTTGCTAATTTGGACTCATCAGTCCTGCTTCAGGTCAACAAGTATTTTGAACTTAATAATTCATATATTTTTACTATAGAAGAATTAAGCAATACTGAAATTGTTGAGTTAGTAATAGTAGAACAGCAGCATAAAGAACATGATTCAGATGATTCAGATGAAGAGTCTTTAACAATTCTAGCTTCAAAAGGATTAGTGAGTCTAAAAAAATTTTTAGAGTTTTTTGAGCAACAAACAAATCGAAATTTTAAATCAGAAGATTTAGATGTTTTTTGAAAATATTTATCTATAATAAGGCATAAGGATGTAGAATCAAAAAACAAAGTTCTATTATAAATTTTTTTATATTTGAAGAAACAAGTTAAAAAGATGATATTAAAAAAATTTAGAACAATCACTTTTTGAATTATTTTTTGGTAGATTTTTTAATTTTTAATAATTTTTTTTTATTTATAGTATATGTGATTCTTTATGTCTATTTTTGATAATTTATACTATAATTGTCTACTTATTCATTTTGCTTAAATAGTTTTTTTATTATTGTATCTATTTTTTATTCAACTATGCTATTAATTTTTGGTAAGTAACTATATGTTTATAGCATCTAATTCGATTCATAATTATTTATTAAAATGTGCAAACAATCTTATACTAGTTAAAAATGGTTGTCTATGCAATATACTTTTAGTAAGTTCAAATAATAATTCATATTTTTAACTTGATTTGTACTGTATATACTGTATATATTCTTATTTTTTATTCATAAAGTATCAGTTTAGTGTACAAATGGTTTTTTATATCATTCATGCTCAGTAAGTTTATCAACTTACTTATATTACATTATCTAACTCTATTCTTATTTATTTTATTTATTTATTTATTATTTATTTTACTATACTGTATTTTTTTTTTTTTGTATATTAGTTTTTATATCTGCTTACTTTAGTAAGTTTGCCCAATTTAACATTTATTATTTAATTGATTATTAATTTGTTTTAAATGCCAAGTAATTCTAATTATTTTTAATATTGGTTTAATACTTTAGTAATTTCTCTAACTATTAATTTTTCAGTATTTATACTTATTGTTGGCTCAGACTTTAATGGCTGCTAAATAAAATATGCATTTAATTAAAATAATTTTTGAATACACAAAATGTACTATATGTGTTGCTTATTTTCAGTAAGTTAAAATTTAATTCACATCCTTATTATTTTAAACACTCATACAATTCTTTTTAATTACTTATGATTTTACAAGTTATACAATAGCTAATTCAGATTGCAAGTGGTTTTTCATACTATTTATCTTTGGTAATTTAATTAATTTTTCTTATTTTATAGTATTCATATCTCTATATTTATTCAACACTAATAGCTTATCATCTCTGTTATTGTAGTAAGTTAATTCAATTTATATTTACTATATGTTCTTATAAAAACAAGTTTTCTAATACTAGTGTAAATAGCTTTTTATTTACCTTTTCATTTACTTCACAAATTTAGTTAATTCAGGGTTCAATAATAATTTTTATCATTTAATTTTGGTTAGTTGAGCATAATGGCTTTTTTATATATAATGATCCTTACTTATTTTTCTTTATATATTTTTATTTAGAAATAAGTTTAGCAAACTTTTATTAAGCTATTTAAATGCATTCTTATTTATTAATTAATTTAATTTAGTACAATATTAGGCAAAAATTATTTAAATATTTTTGTTAATATTGATGATTTTAAATTTTAAATAAGTTTAATAAATATTTTGATTTGCTGCTATAATCAAGTTTAATAATTATCCTTACAAATAAGAAATGTTTAAAATTGTATATGATCGTATATAATTTAAATTTTTTATAACAAACTGGCAGTTTGAAATTAAAAAAAGTTTACTATATAATTACTATGCTTTAGATCATAACACTTTTATATCAGTTATAAATTTAAAATTTTGAATTTATTATTTTTAAAGTTCTTATATTCAGAGTTTATTATAATTAAGTTAGAGTTTGAATTTATTTAAGCTTGGAGTTTGCTAAGATTGGTTAAAGTATCAGTTATTGTATTTTTTTTTACATTTAAGTAAAAACCTGCTAAGTGAATATTAAAATTTATTACTATAACAGATTTATTACATTATTTTAATATAATAAGTCCACTACAGTGATAAGTTTAATATTTACTTACAGTGTTTTTTCACTTTTTAGTTAATTAAGAAAAATGATGCTGATTGGATAAATGTCATGTAATAGTGCAGATGAACCTTATTTACAATTACACCCTTCTATAATCACCATATTTGTGTGCACCTATTTGTGTAATTATAAAGGAGGATGACTGTAGTTACATTATAACCACAAAAGGCAACTATAGGAAGAGTATACAACTAGCCATTCATACAACTTTAGTTATTGTTTAATTTAAGTAATTCATTCAAAAATTCTATACTGCTATTATATCTAAAACCTACTTGTAGATTTTCTATTTAAATACTTTAGTTCCTGTATTTATCCACCTATCTTTGTCTATCAACAAACTCAACTAATGCTAATAAAAATATATCATGACTACTAAGTTTTTAAAACAGTTCACTTATATAAAAAACCTTTGATTTTGTACTAAACCTTTTAGGATCTTCTGTATTCTATTCTTACAACTAACTTAGTATTACTATAGCTAAGACTAGTATTTACAACCAGAGCATATCATTAAACTATTATGCATTTGTAAAGTTTATTTCAACTTTAGTACTGCTTCACAATATATTCCTACTACTTTGGTATTTAATTCAAGTTTCACTAAGTTGCCAACTTAAATAGTCTAAAAAGATAGATTGTAATCATATACCTTTGGTTTATATGTTCTCTGACATGTACTTTTTTTCTTCAAAATCTAGAAATTTTGGCAGTCTGATTGATTTATCTGATCTTTTTTCAAAGATCAACATATTTGTTCAGCTTTATAAGTTCTAGTTTTGTTTTATAAATCTAATCTTTACAGTAGCATTATCAAAAGTTTAGACTATCTTTTTCTTCAGGTTTTTCAAGTAGGCTTTTATTTTCCTATCTGGTTTCTGTAATTTATATGAACTAAGAACTTATTATAAGTTTATACTGCCTGGTACTAGTTTGTATTTCTTTATATAATATTATACAAATGTCTAAACCTTTTAATCATATTAGTAAAATATAGGTTATAAGTATCTAATCTCAACCAATTATAGAAAACAGTTAACTATAACACAGAAAGAATTGCAAATTTTCACTATTATTGGGATTTGAACTCTAGATTTGTCACTTGGAAGTTAACAACTTGATCACTTCACTAGATCACTACACCTACTATTTTTAAATAATATTAAAATATATTATTCTTTTTTTATAATAAAGATTTTATTATATTTTAAATTATGATTTATATAATTTATATAATGATAACTGTTTATTATAATTTAAGCAAATTTAAAAGTAATTAAAAGGTATCAAAAACAAATATAATAATAAATTTAATTAATAATAATAATTATCTTCAAATATATAAGTTTATATATTATTTAATTATTTATAAAAATAAGATTTTAATAACTAATTTAATTTATTAAGAGTGTGATAACTTAATGAAATAAATAAGTTGTTAATCTTTCAAATGATAGATTATGAATTTAAAATTTACTAATGATAAAAATTTGGATAATTATTTATATAATATATAGATAGTATTATAGTAACAGCATTCTATTGATTAGTTAAAATAAGATACTTGTAACTATGGTTGCATTAGCATAACTGGCAGGTTACAGAACATCTATATAATCTTAGTTATATAAAGAGATATAAACTAGTATCAGATGATGCAAACCTAAAATAAGTTCTTGTAGCTATATAAATCTGTAGAACTAAAAAAACTGAAGCTTATTTGGAAATATTTAGTAGAAAGGTAGTATAGATCTTTAATAGTATTATTGTAAAGACTAAACCTAAAAAATGAATACCAATATAAAGGAATTAGATAGATAAAAATCTTAGATAAGAGGTATTACCAATCAGATTATCAGATTTTTGACAAAGAAAAAGAATATTAGATCAGACTTAATATACCAAGAACAGATTATAATCCTTCTGAGCAATCTGAATTGGAAGTTTAAAAACCAAAACAGATGTATACAAAAGTATTAAAAATATGCTGTTAAGTTAGTACTAGGATCTGAATGAACTCTATAAAGGTAACTTTTATTAATAATCTATAAAGTAAGTAAATAGTTAACAAAAATGACTTCTTGCACCTTACTGGCAAATATTATATTTTGAAATGTGTAATGACCTGAAAACTAGTACAAAAAGAGTAGACACCATACTGCTCAAATGATATACCAGTTAGATATATACAGAAGGTTAATTGGTATTACATTATAACAAGACAGATGATCAGAAAGTTTAAATGAATAATCTTCTAGTAAGTTATAAGTATGATATCTGTATAGAACCCTAGAGTGGACTACTTAAAATAGGCAACCAAAAGTTGCACATGTGACTAGTTGTACTTTCATCTCTGTATAAAATAGTTGTAATAACTAACTCCAACAAAAGTCAATAAAGTTTTGCCATAAAGTATGGCCTTTAACAAAAAAAAAAATTAATTTATTATTTTATTATAATTAAATAAATAAATTTTAAACAAATTCAAATTAAATTTTAAAACAATTTTAAAAAATGATAATAATAAGTAGATTATTAAGAAAAGTACTGTACTAAGCGATAGTAGCTTTATTTAAATTAATAATTAGATAAATTATATTATATAATATAATTTTTAATTTATTATTTATTAAATAATTAGTAATTCAAACCTTCTTTTATTTATTTATATTAGATATAACGATAAAGTAATTTGACCAATATATTATTTTATTAATTAACTATAAAAGTTAAGTATGTTTATATTAAGATCTAATAACAACAAATTAATTTAACAAAAATTTTTTTTATTAAATCATTAAAATAATAAAGAATTTTTTTATTAAATTATTAAAATAATATATTTTTAACAGTTTTAGTATTATCACCGATGGCGATACCACCACCTCTTATTTCTTTTATCAAATTTAGGGTTGGGCACAATTTTAGACCAAGGTTAGGAGTTAGATACAAAAGTTCAAATTTTAGTTAAAGTTAGGTTTTTGAAGGTTCTAAACATTTTTACTTCGTACTCCTGATATGTCTTAGCGTTAGCTAGTAGGTTTTTTTTTTCGAGATATTGTATCCCTGGTAATATCGCCACTGATGGTAAATAACAATATTCTATTTTTAAATTGTTTAAAAAAAAAATCTTTTTAAAAATAAATATTAAATAATTTGTATAACTGGTAACTAACATTAAAACTTATGGTAACTTACCGGTAACTTACCATAATAAGTTACCATGGTAAGCTACCACTAACAACCCTGCACAAGAGTATCAAAAACGAATGTTTTGCTATTGGGGTAGTCGACCGCCTGGTCAAGATCACGTGATACGTATATTTTTGCTTGTCAGCAAATCGTGTATCGCTATTTATATAATAAAGTTTAACTAATTGAATGTAATACACTAGTATAACTAACTTCGTTAAGATGCAAATGGGTGCCACCAGGTGAAACCTGACATTCTAAAAAAATAGATTTCTATAGACAACGGAATGCGGAATTTTAACTAATCTGACTAGAATAATGAATTATACTATATTTTTGATCACATAGTAGTATCATTTAAAGTCCGTATTCAGTTGTTCGTAGAAATCTATTTTTAGAATGTCAGGTTTTCACTTGGCAGCACCCAAATATTGATGCCTATAAATATATAGCTTATTTTTACTACATATACGCGGATAATATTCAATTGCGCAACATAGTTCGACTATGAAAGAAATTCGAAGGACATGGAAATTTGCATGCATGATTTGATTATATGATAATCTGATTGTTACAATAAGTTAACAAGGTAAAATCATCATAAACCAGGGCCATAAACGTTTTCAGCATATGTTACCCACTTAACAATAACCGCACGTATCTCTTTCCAACCAGGCATTTTGGAATCAGAGATTGATTCACCTTTGAACCATTCTTGGTGAACTTCTTTACAACCAGGACATGGTGGTAAGGTGGCCTTCGTTTTTGATAGCTCAAGATGAATCAATCTTTCAACACGATGGGTATACTTACACTTGCATCCTTCAGTAGGGAATGATTCCAACAGCTTAGCCTTATAATCACATTTCTTCTCCCATTGTTTTAGGCGCTGGTCAACATTCTTACATCGACCGATCTTGTAAAACATGCGACTTGAATTCCGATTTTCTTTTTCTTTGTCTTCAACTAAATATCGATTAGTAAAGAATTTTCCTTTGCATAAATAATTAACAAATTATTATTATCATAATACCTGTGAATACATATATGTATCCTGCTTCATCGTTCTCAGATATATTCTTCTCCAGCTCTAAACGCAATAGAATTTTTATCTCATGCGGAACATCATCCTTAATATAATCTGTAAGAGGGCCTATAATATCAATTTATTAGTAACTCAAATAATTATATAAATGAAATTAAAATTACCCTTATTCCTAACATAAGAATTATTTGATTTTCCTGTTTTTATAAAAGAACTATAATTTTGACGGCGATTGTCCAAAAGTTTTACATCAACGGATTTTCTCTAAAATATCAAATAGTAATATCAGTGATGTTACATTCATATAAATATTTTAGTATTGAAAATTATAAATCAGATTCGACGGCACAAATATAAAATATAAATATTTCTGCAAATAAGACAGATAGCATTTATACCATCGCAAATTGGAGGAAACATTAAATTTCTGCGAGTGAGGTTTAATACCATCGCAAATTGGAAAGATAATGCCTCTGCGAGTGAGGTATACTATCGTAAGTTAAGCAGAAACTATAAAAATATTCATGCCGTCACAAGTAATAATAAAAATTTTCATCATTATATAATAAAGAAATATATTAATATCAGGATAATTTTACCTTTGCCTCATTAAGAAGATCTAAATATTTTTTAACAGTGATAGTTTTTTTTTGTAAATAGTATTCTAACCACATTGTATAAATTTCCTTTCTAGTTGTTAATGGAAACTTGTCGCCACCCTTTCTATTTGTAAATTCTAAAAATTGATTAACGTTCCATTTCTCCGATTCAAAATTTTCGAAATATCTTCTTGCAACCCGATACAATCTTTTTTCGTTACCACTAAGTTTGTCACCTATAAATTTAACTGGATAAGTAATCTTCATTGTAAAAAAATAAAATGCAAAAAGATAAAAATAAAGTGAAGAGTTAAAGCAAAAAAACAAGCGCGAATGTCGATATTTTAAAAATCTGCGGTATTACAAGCACATGTAAGTATACGCGTCGCGTCAAACGTGCGAATTTCACATACATAGTCACATGAATTTGATCACGGGCATAAATCGTTGGAGGTGTATCCTATCGGCTGATTTACAAAACATAGGGGTCGTCTAAAGCGGAGGCAAATTACGTGATCAACAGCCAATCAAATTATAGAATGTTGATAATCGCCGGCGAAGCAAAAAAAACGATAGTCTAAACCTGCATTGGGTAGGTTAATTAAAAATGTTGGGAATGCAATTTTTACATATATATAACCACCTAAAACCTAAACTAACCCTGATATAGGAGACCCTAACCCTAAAATTAATCGAAAACTTTATTAAATATGAATTGCCTCCGCTTTAGACGTCTCCCAAACATAGTAGTGATGATCAGCATAGAAGTTCGTCTTGATTGGTTATCAATATACCCCGGACAAACCGTCGATCATACCTCGGATTAGTTTCGGATCAAATACTTGTAGCAGATATCTGATTGGCTAATTCTAGCTGATAATTTTTTTTAATATTAATTTTATTTTATTTTTTTAATGGCTATCCGTTTGCTATTCGTACTAAATTTAGTATAGTACAAAAAAATTTTTTTTGAACCAACAACTTAATTAATTTTATTCATACTTTATACAAATATAATTTAATATTAACTTAATATATGTATAAGCAAAATTTTAAATAATATTTATAAATAAGATTTTGAGATAGCATAATTTTAATTATACTCTATTATTCTAAAATATTGCTATACTAAATTTAGTACAGTAGCTTTTTATAAATATTTCATCAAATATATAAAATAAAAAATTAAAAAAAGTAAAATAGATTGCTCATAACATATTTTTTATTTTTACATATTTATATATTCAATATATAATTACTAAAACAAGTTTTACATATCTTTTTTAAAGTGCTACAAACACAATAATATCTTGTTTGTATACTACAAGAATTGCAATGAAGCTGTAGATAAATTATACTGCCTGCTTTATTTTTTTACTTTGAAATAGTATATAGCCAGTGTTGTAAGTTTATTTATAATTGTGTTCTTACTTCTGATGATGAATTTTTAGTTATAAAATAATGTTCATGAATTATCTCATGTGTTAATTGTTATTTAAAATCAAAATGTGAGGTATTTTGTACATATTTATTATATTTTTTAAAAGTAAAAAATGCATTTGTTTCTGCAATACTAAGCAAAAAAGCAAATATATATATTTGCCAACTTGTTTTTTGCATAATATCATAAAATGAAGGTATTGTATCATAAACCTAATAATAATTAATAAGTTTGAAATAAATATATTGAATAATATAAAAAATTATTAACATACTTAATTATTAATATCAACAATTCTCTTTAATTAAGAATATTTACAAAAAAATTTGTAGTCTTATAAACTTAACAATTGATAAATTATTATTATTGTTTTTTACTATACATTCTATCTTATTTTTATTTACTATAGTTGATGCTATTGCTATAATACATTGTAATTTCTGATCTCATAAAGATGTTGCAATTAAATATATATTATCAATAGTTATAACTTTTAAAATATAAAATTTATATGAAGTTTTTAGCTCTTGAATCATATTTTTAAGATAATTTAAAGGCCATGCTTATTTTTTTTAATATGAAATATATCATATAACCTGTTTTTTTTATTAATAAGATATAAAGCTTTAGTGAATCAAACCAACTGTCTTTAACAATTGTTTATCTATTTCCCAACTATAGTTATACTAATTTTAATACTTATGCAGTTGCATTACTATAATCTGTTACAATTTATTTTTTTTCAATTTCTTTATCTTTACAAGATTCTAATTGAATTATAATATTTGTAGAATTATTAACAAGAATTTTCTACTCTTAACCTATAGGATATAGTTTTCTTGGTATTTTGTAATAGCCTAGAATTTTATTTTTTTTGTCTAACTATATATTTATTAACTCATTAATACATAAAGTTTTTTCCAATTTTATAGTTTTAATAAGATTAATATTAAAGACATTGTTACAGTATCGTGGCCTTCTTAACAGCAGTACTATAATAATGACACGGCTACAAGGATCCTTTACAGGTTTATAGTGGTGTCCAAGAGGTAAGTATAATTCCTTAGTCTGTAAAAAACTATACCCTTCTCT